CAGTTTGGCTGTGTCCAGAGTGCTGAAATATCACCATAAATAAATATAGTACCAGATCAGAACAGCCAGCCCTGTATTGACAGCAGCTGAGTGTAGAAATATTTTAAATGTTAATAGCTCTATTGAGATGTAATTTACAAACAGTAAAATGCAGAGATTTTAGGTGTGGATTTTGATGAGTTTGAGAAATGTATATCCTATATAACGACCACCCCAATCAAGATTGGGAACGTTTCCAGTGCCACAGAAGGTTCCTTTGTGCTCCTTTGTGGTCAGAGCTGCTCCCCGCCCCCTCCGAGACAGCCAGGCCTTTCTGTGACTGTTGTCAAGCTTCGCATCAACGGAAACACACAGTGTGCGCTCTCCCGAGTCTGTCGTCTGTGCCCAGCATGGTGTCTGTTCGACTGATGCATGTTCATGTGTGAATCAACAGTTCATCCTTTTTTGTTGGTGACGGTGGTCATTGTATGCATATACCACACTTGTTTGTGAATGGATACTCACCTGGGGTTGGGCATTTAGGTTGTTGCCAGCTGTTGGCTGTTCTGAATGAAACCGCAAGGAATACTTGTTCACACGGCTTTGTATTTTCATCTGTTTTGGGTGGAATCTCCAGGCATCGCAGGGTAGGCACATATTTAGATTTACAGTTTAACGTTAGTAAACCATTTCCTAAAGTGATTGTACAACTTTACCGCCCCACTGACATTGTATGAATGTTCTGGGAGCTCCACAGCCTTGCCAGTAATTGGCGTCGTCAGTCATTTAATTTATGGTGTGTAATAGCTGGTCATTTTGGTTTCTCTTACGAATAAGGATGTTGAGGATTTTTTAATCTGCTTGTTGACCATTCATGAACCTTCTTTTTTCCAAGAAGCTTCAAGTCTTTTACCCATTATTTATTGGGTTGTTAAGTCTTTTCTAAGGTAAGTGTATTACAAATGCCTATCGCTTAGTTTTCCTTTTTATTAATGATGATTTTGAATAACTTGAGTTTTTTATTATGATGACAATTGAATTTGTCAGTTTATTCATTTATAGGTAGTGCTGTTTTTATGTTAAGAAATTCTTGACTATCTTACTATTATAAAGATTTTATCTTAAGTTTCTTCCTGAGTTTGATAGTTTTAGCTTTTATGTCTAGGTCTATAATCCATTTCAGACTAATTTGTACGTGGGATGTGAGGTAGCTGTCAGCGGGTTCATTTTGTTTTCACAAGTGGATATCCAGTGGGTCTAGTACCATTTGTTGAAAAGACTGGCCTTATTGAATGCCCTTGTGCTTGTTGAAGAGCAATTGACTGTATATATATGTCAATATATGTACACTATTCTGTTCCAAAAATATATTTGTCTATCCTTATGCCAGAACAGCACTGTCTTAAGACTGTGGCGTTACGGTAAGTGTAGAGCTCAGATAGAATGGGTTTTCCTACTTTGTTCATTTTTTTCCCAAAATTGTTGTTCCACCTGGTAATATTTACTTTCAGCCTCCAATACTTCCTGCAGTATTTCTTGTAGTGCAAATCCGTAGGTGATTACTTTTTCAGTTCTCTCAGTAAAATAAAATTCCTTTATTTTACTCCTTTTTGAAGGATATTTTTATAAAATTTAAAATCTTAGGTTGACAGTGTTTTTCCTCTCAGTGCTTTGACGGTGTCATTTCATTGTCTCCGTGCCTCTGCTGTCTCTGATGAGAGGTTGGCTGACACTCCTGTCATGGTTCTTCTGTATGTAATTTGTTGTGCTTCTCTGACTGCTTTCAAGATGTTTTCCTTTGTCTTTCATTTTCAGTAGTTTGACTATGATTTGCCTAGTTTTTTTTTTTCCTTTCTATTTATTTTGCTTGGGTTTTGCTGTTCTTCTTAAGCTTATAAATTGGCATTTGGGACCAAAATAGGGAGATTTTTTGACATTATTCTTTCAACTTTTGTCTTGTTTGGCCATTATTTATGCTCCATGTTCACCTCTCCTTCTGGACCCCAAATACTGATACATGTATGTTAGACCAGTTGATATTATCTCATAAGTACTTGGGCTCTTTTCATTTTTTATAATCTTTTTTTTTTTTTTTTTTTTTTTTTGCGGTACTCGTGCCTCTCACTGTTGTGGCCTCTCCCGTTGCGGAGCACAGGCTCCGGACGCGCAGGCTCAGCGGCCATGGCTCACGGGCCCAGCCGCTCCGCGGCATGTGGGATCCTCCCGCACCGGGGCACGAACCCGTGTCCCCTGCATCGGCAGGCGGACTCTCAACCACTGCGCCACCAGGAAAGCCCCCATTTTTAAAAAAAATTCTTTTATTGTGTATACTTGAGATTAATAATTTCTATGAATCTGTTTTCATGTTCACTCAGCTTTTTATCATGCCAGCTACAGTCTGTTAAGCCCATCCAGAAACTTTTAAATTTTGCTTTTCAGTTGTAGAATTTCCATTTGTTTCTCTTTTATAGTTTCCATTTCACTGTCCAGATTCCCTGTCTGTTTCCTCATCAAGACCATTTTTCCTTTAAACCCTTGAACCTGTTTTGATAGCTAAAGTCCCAACAACAAATAGATGTTGTCTGCTAGCTACAACATCTGGGTCAACTCAGGGTCTCTTTCTATTGACTGCTTTTGAAAAAGAAAATGAGTATGGCTCACATTCACATGGTTATTTGCATGTCTAATAAATTTTTATTCTATGTTGGACGTTATGAATGATACAATGTACAGAGTTGGGAGTATTTGTCTTCCTTTAAAAAGGGTAGTTTGTTTTATCAGCCAGTTAATTACTGGCGGTTTCTTAATCTTGTTGAGGCTTAATTTTAACCTTTTTAAGGGCTGGTCTAGAGTAGCCCTTATGTAGGACATGGTTTCGACTCCGACACTATGGACTTTTTGGTGTCTCGGTCAAATTCTCATGGTATTATTGAGCTCTCTCCACTCTGGTCTCTCTACTCTCCCAGTGCTGTGTGTCCTCTAGTGTCTTTGTCTCACTCCCAGCTCTGTATCAGCTGCTCTCTGCTTGGCTTCACCAAGTCTCACCTTGCACATGTGCAGTCCAGCCCTTGGCCAAGGTCCTGTGAGTAGCCCATCTAGACTTCTGGGGTCCCCTTCTTGGAGCTCTGTCTTCTCCAGTCTTTGTCCTCCAATTTCCAGCTGCTTCCTCAGCTCTGAACTATAATCTTTGTCTTCTCAGCACAGCCCAACTCCTTTTTTATGTTTCTCCTCCCTGTGCTGCTGGGAGGAAATGGTCTCCAGGCTGACATTCAGGGCTCATCTTGGTGCACTTAGGGATCACATTTCTGTGCTGCCTGTTGTCCAGTGTCTGAAATCACCACTTCATATATTTTGTCCAGTTTTATAGTTGTTACTCTGTCATGTGCAGAAGCCTCAGTGTGGTAGAAGTATTGTTTTGAACGTTGTTCCTGAGATTACTGGTTCTCAAGCTTAAGCTTGCATCAGATGCATCTGGAGGACTCGTTTACACAGAGACCCTTAGGCCCCATCCTTTAGTGTTTCTGATTCAGTAGGATTGGATTGGGGCCTGACAATTTGCATTGTCCAGGTGATAACTGATGCTGCTGGTCTGGAAACCACACTTTGAGAACCACTTACTTGGAAAGATGGATCTTGAGAAAAAAATGTTGGGATTTTATTTGGCACTTACTCCATACAATTTTTACCTTTCTTTTTTTGGGGGGGTAATAATACTTACATCTCAGTTTATTATAACATTATACGTCTTGCTCTTTTCATTCAAAGTATGAATTAATGAGGAATTTTTTTTTTGCACTGAGAAGGATAGATTCTCCATTTAATTGATAGAAACAGAAAATACATGAGAGAATAAGTAAAGTTATTTAACAATGAAATACTACCATTTTTTTTTTGCCTTCACAAATAAATTTGATTCTTTCAAGTTATGAAACTTGTAGAACATGGAGTGTGATAAGTTTCAGAAGTAATTGCTTTTTGTTTCAGAAATAGGGTTTTATTTTAATTATTCTCAGACTTATTTGTATATATGTGAAGTGTGTGTGTGTGTGTGTGTGTGTGTGTGTGTGTGCTTTGTAGGTGAGATGTGAAACAGTGATAACCAGTAGGCTTGCTGGACCGGGCTCTACCTTGTCGTGTCCTCAGGTTTCCTGACAACTTACGCTTCATCCCTGAATAGCTCTTAATCCTTCTACCTTAGCATCACATATTATCTGCTTTCTTTGCCTCTTTTGGTTCAATGGCCCTATCTCTCATTTGTCAGGATTTTGACATTTATTGCTTCCTTTTACTCTAGTCCATATATTTCCCGTCAGCGTAAGGTTTATACTGGTGTCAGATGGTGACTCTCATTGTTGAGGATGCTGACATTGTTCTCACAGTGGCTGCAGCACAGGAAGTGTTCTCTCAACAACATCATAGAATATCTTGGATGGGAAAACGGATTCGTCCTATCCTTTCAAATTCTAATCAATCCTTGACAGATTTTTTATTTTTATAAATTTATTTATTTATTTTTGGCTGTTGCGTCCTCATTGCTGCACGCGGGCTTCCTCTAGTTGCAGCAGGCGGGGGCTACTCTTCGTTGCGGTGTGCGGGCCTCTCATTGCAGTGGCTTCTCTTGTTGTGGAGAACAGGCTCTAGGCACGTGGGCTTCAGTAGTTGTGGCCCGTGGGCTCAGTAGTTGTGGTGCACGGGCTTAGTTGTTCCACGGCATGTGGGATCTTCCTGGACCAGGGATCGAACCCGTGTCCACTGCATTGGCAGGTGGATTCTTAACCACTGTGCCACCAGGAAAGTCCCGACAGATTTTTTAATGTAACAACTTTTTAAATTTTTTGGAAAAATTGGTACAACAGCCTTTGGTGGTTAGATTAGAAAGCTGTTTCATAGCACAGTTTCAATATTGTTTCAGCTGAAATGTGAGATTACAGCAATTTTAATCTCAATTTCAGAGATATGTTCTCTAATATTTTGACACAGGCATAGTGATATACTGATTACTAAATTCTCATTTCCAACAGGTCCATTTTGATGGCTGGGACCACAAATATGACTACTGGATGGATACAGACAGCCCTGACATTCACCCAGTCGGATGGTGTGACATCACAGGTCATCCCCTGGAAGTGCCGCATTGTGAGTATCTTGCTCTTTGTGTTGTTGCTTTTTAAATACGTAACCTGGAGCCTATCTTAATGCTGTTTATTTCATGTCATCATAAGTATTTTAAAGCTCAGTATCACATAGGTGAATTGATTAATCAGCACTATAGCTACACTGAAAGCCAGTTATTCACAATTAAGCCTCAAAAGACATGCTCTATATAAATGAAGAGTTATCAACATTAAGGAATTATTTTGATAATGTTGTCTGGCAGAATCTTTGTTTTCCACATTTTAGTTTGGAAAACTGAGCCAGGTCTAAATCCATCTAATTTGGGCCTTCACTTTTAGCTGAAGTACTTTTTGTTTTCTTAAACATCTTATCTTAATTGATTTTGTTTTATAGAGTAGGTTTCAAAAAGTTTTAGAAGAACAGAAGTATTTTAAACTTCAGCAATTAAAAAAATTTTAGTTGTAAAAATTGGAAAAAAGACAACCTTCTGTTATGTCGGTATCTTCATTATTTCTGTCTTTCTGGGTACTTAAAGTTAAGGAGGTAATTAACCATTCTAAATTCTAATAAACCTCGAACCAAAATATTTCATTCTTTCATCTGCAGGATTCCTCTGATCAGATTAGACTGACATGACTAATAACTAGTTTCAGACATTTTGCGAGCACTCTCCATCCTTATGTTTGCTTTGTTCCCCCACTGCTTCTGTTGTCCTCCCTTTGGTTTCTTGGGGTGAAGGTAACCTTCTATCCTGTTAATGAGGGTGAACCAGCCCAATGATGCTTGAAACTTAGATCTAAAAGGATTAACTGTGTCTTTGAAAGAGCTCCTTAACTTCTTTTAGAAATAAGGAGAATTACTGACTTAATAACTTGACAAACATTATGACATTGTGCTAGATTCTTCAAAAGCTACACATGGATGAGGTGCAGGTCCTCATGCAACTTACAGTGCATTAGCAAGTGCAGGGTCTGCATACAGAGAATGTAAAACAGGGAGAACAAGGTCAGTTCCATGGAGGGGGGAAGGGTTAGCATATTTGCTTTGTACTTTTTGCTGATCCCACTTTCTGTTCTGCCTGATCTTGCATCCCATCTTGCCAGGGAGGTGTCTCTTGGTTGATGTTAACTCATCCCAGTAAGCTTCTCAAGTAGGGATTTCAAGGGAGATGGGCCCGGATCAGCGTTTCAGGTACAGAGACAGCTGTCTTCATTCCGCCTCACCCATTACCTGTTCCTTGGTCAGGCTGCCTACCTGGCTTCTCGACCCAAATGTCTCAGAAGCTTCGCAAAGTCTATGGATCGAACCTCAGCTCCATCCCAAGCCAAAAGCTTGTCTTTCTACCGTAGTTGCTACTTGATTCCAAAGTTGCTGCTTCCCATGCAGTCATTCTAGACTCTGCTCCCTCCCTACCCCTCCCTCACCCCACACATACAGCCAGTCATCAAGTCTTGATGGTTCTCTTTCTTGATTTCTCAGAACCCATCTCTGACCCCTTCTTCCCCTTCCCAGTACCATTGCATTTGAGTTCTCATCATAGGTACAAATGGTTTGCAGAATATGGTCTGCAATTTGCTGGTTAGTGAGTCACACTGATCCTCCCAATCTAAAAATTCAGGCTCTAGAGGCAGGATTGCCTAGTGGTTGAGCGTGTGATATCTGGAGTCAGAATTCTGACATGTGAATCTCAGTATCACTGCTTTGCTTAGCTGTGTGATCTGTGCCTGTTTCCTCATCTAGAAAATGGAGGTGATATTAGTGTGTCAGTCTCATAATCTGTAATGATGAAATGAGATAAATTCGTGCATAACACCTCAAAAACTGCCTGGCCCACAGGATGTGCTCAATTAGTGTTAGCTGCTATCAGAAAATGATGTAACATTCTATAGATTTTCATTTTTACCTAAAACTACGTGAATTAAGGATTACAAAATTCGAAATTGTGCTAAAATGAATAGGTGACTAGAGTTTTCCAAATATTTAAATTTAGTTTTTTCTTAAGTCAGGCTTTCATGTATTCCTGGCAATATTATAAGACTCCTGTTTTGAGTATGTGCACTTAAGTAATTGGAATCCCTATTATTTGGGGGAATTAGATGTCTTCAGTTGGTCATGATATTGTATTACTGCTGTGCTTGCTTTTTGGTTATAAACGTGTTTGTTTGGATTAATTATTATTAATACAGTGTATTATAGGTTACTTGTTTAACCCTGTTTTTTGTAATTATTCATATCTGCATCATAGTCTTATTAATTTTTAAATACCTAGACTTTAAGACATGTTCATAGTGTGGTTCAGTATATATCATCCATGGCCCCATCATTAAAGCAAAAAT